AAGAAAAAAGAAGAAGGCGAAAAAGTTTAAAAAGCATAATACTTACACATGATCGTCGTTGAAAGACTTGAAACTTGCGGTTGCCGGAGAAAGGGTCGCCGATGAAGCTCGGAAGCGCCTTATTGCCAGAGAGATTCGAAAGCTCAGAAGAATTTGAGAAAGGGAAAAGTGATTTGGAACAGAGAGGGAAGGTATTTATACAAGAGGCAGGAGGATCCTAGCCTTTAGATTTAATTGGAATCAACGGTTCGGATGAATCGCGGAATTCGAGGCGGCGCACTTAAAGCGATGTGATAATTATGAATTTGAAATTCGAAATTCGGAAAAGAAGAGGGAAAAGGTGTCAGGTTGTCAGAATGACCTAGAAGACAATGATGAAACCCCTACAGCATTGAACAGCCACAGGGGTAGAGCTTTTGATGTCAAGAAACGGAGAACGAGTATAGTTAGTAAGAGAAGTCGAGTACCAAATTTACTCTTAAACAGTCGACTGTTTAGAGTAATTTTCGGGGGGGACTAGATGATATAGTCATATAAAGATAACCCGGTCTAAGAGGCTTCCCACTCGACCGGTGAGCCATTTGAACGACTCGCATATCGAGATAACCCGTCGACATGCTCAAATCGACTTCCATAAAGTCGACTCTGCTGGAAACAACCAAGGGGCAGAAATCAGTAAGTCGACTCCTGTAAGTCGACTTCTAACTCTCGACTTCTGCTAGTCGACCTCATATCAGAAGGACATCAAGAAGGTGACTCCCAACCACCCGGATACTCTAAGTCGACTCCAGCTAGTCGACTTCCTCATGACGACTCCCTAAGAGACGACCACCGCCAGAAGTTAAACCGGGTGTAGCCTCTGGAACCGCACATATGTGTAAGTCGACCTCCTCATGCTCGAGGTCGACTCTGTACATCTCGAAGATCAAAGTGGTGAAGACGATTCACCACACTTGCAACCTACCCAAAGCTCCACACATTATCAAAGATAAGAAGGAATCTCACTATGGCTCAGCAACAAAGGGGAGACGAATCGACAAGGGCATTTTGGACCTTCTAGGTCCACCGACTTGGGCATTTTGGGCATTTCAAGTAGGTATTCATTCCTATATAAAGGGGACGAGGTAACCTAAAACCCTAACTCTCATTCATTCTACTCTCCCCTATAGCTGCTGCGCAGCCTCTCTTCATCACTCTCATACTGACTTGAGCGTCGGAGGCTCTACGCCGGAAACACCTCCGGCGTTGAGTTTTTGCAGGCATTCTTGCGGTCTAGCGACGGTACAATTGACACTATAACCGTTCGGATGGGGTGTCCATGTCCATCTAGGTTGTGAACAACTATTCTTGTTCGCAAGTGACTGATAGAGTGATCTTTGGTTCGCCCGATGACGACCCACCCTATCTAAGTGCAGAACAACAGAACGTAGAACTTGTTTAATCTAACATGATTCTCATTCATAAAGGGTAAATGTGTAATAACATGCAAAGCCAAGCTTTCAGTATATAACACTAACAGTGCGTGGGGCTCGTTGGGCGATAAGAGATAGAGAGACGACAAAATTTTGGACTGACAAATAGCTGAATTTGGACACCACCTTGCAGCATGCAGCTATTGCCGCAGTCCCGATGGAATTTATTGATAAAAATGTTCGTTTCTTTACCTCGGATGGGGGAACATGGCGCTGGGAGTTATTTTCCCACCTCGTGCCAACCTTCGTGCTGCTGCAAATCGCGGCGATCCCGCCGCCGCGAGAAGCTCTCGGTCGCTACCAGCTCTACTGGGGTTTTTCGGCCACCGGTAAGTTCACCACTAGCTCTGCATATGAGCTCTTAGACGATGAAGGTACGCAGCGTTTGGGCCCGAGGCCTTTATGGCAGGCTGTTTGGCAATGGCCGGGTCCCCAACGGATCCAACATTTCCTTTGGCTCCTAGCAAAGATCGTCTGCTCACTAACGTGGAAAGACGAAGGCGGTACTTGAGTGCTATGGGCCTCTGTGAGGTATGCAGTCAAGATGAGGAGACTATTTTACATGTGTGTCGTGAGTGCCCCTTAGCCACCGAGATTTGGAAGAGGTTGCTGCCAAGCTCAGCCCATCAGGGTTATTTCTCCTCAAATTTAGAGCAGTGGCTGCTTTCGAACTTGGTCTACTCGTCTCGCAATATAGGGGGCGATGACTGGGCTTGCACCTTTGGGGTGGTCGTGTTGAAGTTATGGAGATGGAGGAATGAGAATATCTTCTAAGGTAAGAAACGTGATGTCGTCGGCGGACTTCGCGAAATTTCCACGTACATCGAGGGGATAGCAAGGGTGAGTATTGGTGCCAACAAGCTGGGGGAGACGGGCCGTTCGAGAACATCACAATGGATATGTTGGGAGAAACCTCCATCGGGATGGGTCAAAGTAAATTCGGACGGCTCTTTCAATCTGTCATCTGGTATGGGTCGTGCGGGAGGCCTGATCCGCGATGAACAAGGCCATTAGCTTGGAGGGTTCACAATGAATATAGGCGTTTATTTGATCATGGCGGCGGAATTATGGGGCTTATTTCGGGAACTCTCTCTCGCATGGACTTTGTGGCGTAGACACGTAGAAGTTGAGGTTGACAATGCTAGTGTCGTGGCCTTTGCCTCATCTCCTGAAGATGTTCCGGGTGTGCGTGCAGGCCTAGTGTCGGGTATTAAGGAACTATTACGTCGCCCGTGGGAGGTTAAGGTGAAACACGTCTTCCGTGAAGCGAATTATGCGGCCGACTTCCTGGCTTCCTTTGCGGCGGAAGGACCTTTGGGGTACCAGTTCTTTCATGATCTACCGGAGGGTATTCGTCACTGGCTACAACATGATCTAATTGGCGTGGCTTATCCACGACCCATTTGCAATTTTACTCTCTAGGCGTTTAGCCTCTTCCATTGTACCAAAAAAAATAGAAAGTTAAACTATAATTACAATTGGAATCAACAACTACAAAATCATGATCATACTAGAAAGTTTCAAAGTCATGTGGTCATGAAAGTCCAAGACTAGATGGTCGAGAGTTACAAAATCGTAACCATATTAGAATCTAGAATGTTAAACTATAATCGTAATTCTAGTTAAGAGTTGCAAAATCATGAGCGTGTGTGTGGAATAAACTGGAACACGTGTAAAGAGATTATTGTGATCCTGCATGTTAAGAGTTGTGATTGTTAATTTCCTTTTTTTTAACTACTCCTAGAATTAAGCATACATGTGTGTACAAGACAACGTAAGCATCGTATACCATTTAATTCTCTTTAATTATTGCAACAGGACAACGTAAGCCGTCGTATAATACCATCTGATAAGCCCAGTCATAATGTGACTAATAGCATCGTTATCGAATATCGATCTAACAAATGATGACGAGCATACTACTAATAAGATAACTCATTGAACTATAATTGCAAGTTCTGTGATTGATCTCACACATGATACTCTCATTCAACCAAGTACACAGAAAAATAAACGTGGTCGTCCTAGGAAAAACAGTTGGACCATCGTCATGAGTATCTGGTAAGTTTAATTATGTCTTTAATAGAAAAAGAAAATTATTCAACAAATATATGTTATCTAACATATTTCACTCTAATAAACATTTACAGAATATTGGAACATGGGAGATGCAAGTTTTCGTTGTATGTATTGCGGTTCAATGTTTTGGTATGAGGAGAGAGACTTATTATCAATATGCAGTTGGACAGAATTGTTGACCATGTTCAATTTAATTGCATTGGAAAACATTTTTTTTTATAGACTAAGTATATTTTCTATGTGGCATGTAATATTTTGTTAAGAGACTTCAAGCATTATGGGTCCTCTTATGTGAGAAGTGGATGTTGGATAGAATTTTAATGACAAGAGGACTCTCAATTTGGCCTGCGTGAGAAATTAATGAGGATGTGGGAGAATTAATTGGTTAGAAGTTTGGATCAAGTTGGACTCTTAATTACTTGGACTAGGAAAATAATTTTCATCATCACCTGGAACGGGGAGTACGTGAACATAGAGGAGTGCTGGGGAAGGACAAGAGTTATTTGCTGCATGAAGTGATTTGGCCGTGAATTATTTTATCATAAGGGAGCTTGATATTTATTTATTTATTTTATTTTCTATTCTCTATTTTGATTTAAGACCATGATTGTCAGTATTTGTTTTGATCATTTAGCTATGTGTAGCTAAACATTTATTTCGGCTCTAGGGACGTTGAACCCTCGATGACCATGTTCGATTAATGCAATTTATTTTGTTTTACTTGTCGTATAAAATTATTTTTTTTATTCTAGTTTCATGTCATAATGTGTTATTTTTAATTTAGCTTGATCACCTAAGCTAGAAATTGCTAGATTTAGGACTTCGATAACACAACATAAGTTGCATGAACCGAATTTGTGTGTTTGTGGCTTAGATCGGTTTATTTTCCTAGATTCTAATACAACTAGTGGATTAAATTAGGAAAGTTTATTCCGAGTTGTTTGCTAGTTAGATTTAATTGAAGAGCTTATTTCGATTAAGTAAAATTAAGAAAAAATTCGGGTAGCAGAGCTTAATGCTATCTAGAACCGGTAGTTTTAGAAGACAAGTGAAATTTTATAAGTGTATTAATTGGGCTAGTTAATTGAGAGTGTAGACCGACCTGAGACCGATTTCATTCTCATATTTGCTAAATTATTTGTGATTTTCGAGTTCATCATCATTTGCACTTTAAACATACATCTCTAGTTTTAGTTTAATTTCTCGTTTTTCCATTAGTTTTTTTTTTTTAAATCAAAATACCCCAATTTTCACTTTAATATAATTAATATAATAAAATCACGGTTTATACTACACTCCATGTGGGATCGACCCTTGTTTGCCACTACTACTAGTTAGTAGGGGTTAGACGAGGAAAATTTTATAAATTCAAATTTGCCGCGTTACGACTCGCGGTCAGAGGTCCTCCGACATTTTTGAGACTTCCGGAGGGAAGAAAAGAACCTTCGGATGCTTCCGGAGAGAGAAATAAAGCCAAAGGAGAAGGTCTTGGGTGGAATGGTTTTTTAGGCAGCCGAGAGGAAGGATTTACCTGGACCAAGGCCAACAGTTTGGGTTGAAGAGGAGACATGGGCGGATTGGGAGGGATGGGCTGGGTTCGGGCTGCACTGCAGGATTTGGGTTGGGTTCGAGCTGGACATGGTGGAGGCTGAGGCTAGAGGAGGTGTATAGAGGACGGGTTGGGCAGGGTGGATTTTAGATGGATTGGGGTGGGGTAAAGACTGGATGGGGTTAGTTTTGGTTTGGGCTGGCTGGGATGGGCCTGAGGTGAAAAAGGGTCCAACTGAATTGGATAAAAAAAATGGGCAAATGGGCTTTGGTAAAGAAGGCCCAGATGGAGAAAAAAAAGGACTTATTGGCCCAAGAGGAGGACCCCAAGGATTAGGCGCGTAAGGGATTAGGGCTCACTGAGGATTTTGCGCCGCCACCGTCTGACCGAAAGCAGAGAAACATGCGACGTTGACTGAAGGAAATCCTAAGACTTTAATCTGGGATTGTTCAGCTACCGGGAGCGAACGGAGAGAGCCGCTGGGAATCACTTTTGACGTGGCACCAATGGCGGGGGAAAATCTGGCAGAAACGACGCTCGATTTCCTGGTGACATTTGGTGCGGCGGCGGGAGGTTTTCTCGGAGCTTCAGAGCTCGAAACGGTGTTTACGGGGACGATGGTATGTGCGGAATCAAGCAAACCGCCTGAGGTTTTGGTTACCGGTAGGAAGAGAGGCTGCTGACCGGTGGAAAATTGGGTCGTCGGTAGACTGGAGAGGCACTCCAAGTCGCCGGAAGGCCATTCACAGATCATTGCTTGGGTTTGGGGGACTGCCGCTAGCCGGCGGCGGCCGACTGTTTGTTCGGGAATCTCCAGAAGCTCCTGTTGGGGGAAGGTCGCCAGTAATAAACGGTGCAAGTTGTAGCCGACCAAATGGAGAAGAAGAAGACGTGGGTGTAGAGAGAGAAGTTAGAGAGAAGAAGGAGAAAAAGAAAAAAAAATGGTTAGGCGGCCCAATTTTATTTATTTAGTTTTATTTTTTTAATTTTTGAAAAAGCTTGCCATTACATCTTTTCGTGTTTGTAGTTTTATGCAAATCATTCCCTACCAACTACATACTGCATAAACCACAAAAATTATAAAAAGGTGCCAGAGATCATTTTCATAGGCAAATCATCAAACACTTGATTTGTCATTAGGGAGTAAATACAACACACAACATAAACCATAAAAAAGTGCAGGTCTCAGGTCTGAGGCAAGAGATTATGTTCACAAGCAAACATCAAGCACTTGACATTTCACTGCAAAGTAATTACAACAACACAAAACATAAACTACCGAAAATGCGGGTTAGAGACCACAGATACTTTTCACAATTGTGAAAAATGAAATCAAACTAGCCTAAGCATAAAAAGACTATTAAGATTCGAAATTATTTATAGGATCATGTGACCAAAGGCCAAAATAACACAAGAAACTAAAACAACTCCTTAGACCATCCACAGTGTTTTGGGTTTATAAAAAAAAAATTCAATGCCACATAGGAAACGGACTCAACCTAAAAAAATAAAAAAAAAATTCAATGCCACATAGGAAACGGACTCAACCTAAAAAAATTATTATCCAGTGCAATAACAAGTGAATTGGGTCATGCTGATGTGGTAACAAGAAAAAGAGAACCAGTCTACCTTTAAGTCTATTTTACACTCAAATAGAGACCCGATCTCTTTGCATGGGAGTGAATTGTATTACTTTTATATAATTTTATCCATGTCATCCAAGATTTGGTTCAATCTACATGTCATTTAACAAAATTAGACCCAAAGCATTGTGGATACTCTTACACATCAATTGCCATTAATAAGAAAGCAGTTAAATCATACTATCAACCGCTACAGCTAAAAAAAATAGGGGAAATTATATTATAGGACCTGACTTTTTGTTATTGTGTCACAATAGAGTCTGAATTTTCAACTTTGTCATTTGAGGTTTTCAATTTAAGTTATTCTCAATTCAAGACTTACTTTTACATTCTAGTTCTTAATTTAAGACATCAACTAACTTTATATTTTTACATAAATATGTAAACCAAAATACTATATTTTAAAATTTATATCCAATTATTATAAATATCTTGAGTAAAATTACTTTAATAAGAAAATTAATTCATTTAAGCTAAACTAATTTTGCATAAATGTAACGAAAAATAAAAGTTGTCCTTTTAAAACTAGTCGATTGAGAATTGTTAGAAAATAAATACATTTAAGCTCTTTGTTAACTTTAGCTTAATGTAACTAAAAATTAATTCACCAACTAGCTTTTGTTTAGTATTTCTTTTCAAATATATGATAACATTAAGAAATAAACAATTGAGAAAAATAATTTTATATTTTTTTAATAAAATTATAGAAAATATTATTCGTGAAAAAAATTATATTTCCGAATAGTTTAGAACATATAAAATTAGTACCTATAATAAAAGTATTAAATATATTTGTAAAACTACCTTCATAAGAAAATTAATTCAAATAATTTACATTTATGCAAAATTAATTTAACTTAAATGTATTGATTTTTTTATTAAAATAATTTTACTAAAGATGTTTATAATGCATGTCACACAATAACAACAAATAGTCAAGCCCTACAATAAAATTTAAAAAAAAAAAAAACAAATATATGCTATATCTCTAAGAAATTCAACACTGTTTGCACCATATGTCAAGTTCACTTTCCTCATACCCCAGTTAAATGGGATCACTTAGAGCATGATTGAATATAAAAAGTTTTTGTTTTGATTGGATTTTTGGTTTGGGTTGGTTAAATTTAGTTGTTAATGAGTATATTAAAATAATATTTAAAATAAAATGATTAAAATTAAATTGATGTAAAAGTAGGAGAGAGAAGATGTGATTTGATGGTTAGTTAAAATTATGTGAGTTGATGAATAGTGAATTAAGGTTGATGTTGTGTGTAAGAATGATTGGTTGATATTATTTAAATATATTGATAATATTGATGATAGTGGAGTTGAGTTAAAAAAATGATTGAGTTAAAAATAATTGAATTTTTTGAGTTGGATTTATATCCAATCATGCTTTTAACGATTTTGTTCACACTGGTACACACGATCATTTCAATTTCTCATCTGTGCCAACTGCACAGGAAAAAAAAATAATAATAAAAAATAAAAAAATAATAATAAAAAAAAGACCTGATTTTAAACATTTTCATAGAGCTCCCTTGCAAGTCTAGGCTCAACAACAACAACAAGTGGTTTCACCTTGGGTAAGGCTAACCCTTTCCCTTCACTCATATCCACACTCATCACATTCATCGGCATCGACACCCGAAACCCCTGAATCAAACGAGCGAGCGCGAAATTCACAACAACCAAAGCAAAATTCACTCCCGGGCACATTCTCCGTCCCGAACCAAACGGAATATACTCGAAATTTCGCCCCCCAAAGCCCACATTACTCCCATTCTCCTCCAAAAACCTCTCGGGTCGAAAATCCTCCGGGTCGGCCCACACCTCCGGATCCCTATGCAGCTTCCAAACATTCACCACCAATCGAGTCCCCTTCGCAACGTAATATTTCCCAATGTAACCACTCTCAGTCGACTCGCGGGGCCCGGCCAAGGGTCCCGGAGGGTAAAGCCTTAAAGTTTCTTTAACCACAGCTTGTAAATAGATTAGTTTCTTGATGTCGGCTTCCTCGACTGCCCTGTTTTGCCCGACGTGAAAGTCGAGCTCCTCTCGAGCAGCTTGAAAAACGCGCGGGTTGTTAAGCAAAAGCGAGACGGCCCATATAAGGGCTTCGGCCGTGCTTTCCGAACCCGCCATGAGAAGGATCTGAAAAAATACTTGACTTCGTCGCTCGGATATAAATAAATAAATAACTAAATTATATATACTCGACTAGTCGACTTACCAACATTGTCGCTTTGATGATGGTGGCGCGGTTTTGGCCTTCGACTTTGTAATTTTCATCGAGCGCGGAAAACATCACGTCCATGAGATCCGAACAATGACGAGCGTTCGAATGAAGGATTTGTTCGTGAAGCCAAGTGTCGAGGATCGTGTCGAGTTCCTCTGTTTTTGTCTTCATAGCTTTCAAGTACCCGCCAATGTCCATCCACTCGAGCCACGGGATTGCGTCGGACACGACTACTTGTCCGCTAAGGTACAACACTTTCTTTATGGCTTCCCTCAAGCGAAGTTCGTCACGCCCGTTCTTGCTCTTTCCGATTAGCATCCTTGTTGTTACGCCGAAAGTTAAGTCCTCGAACCACCTGCAAAGAACATCTTTATTTGGTTTTATCGAATTTCGGAGAAATGTTGACGAGTAAATCGCAATTTTAGTCATGTACGTTTTACTACCGTAACTTTTTAGTCCCCTTCGAATTGATTTCTGTTTTTCGTCTCTGATGTTTGCAAAAAGGTCCTCGAGCATAAATAATGGACGAAATTGCAACCTTTTTTTTTTCAAAATATAAGGGACATTTTTTGTTGCGAAAAAGACCCTTTTGTAACCTTTCTACAAAAGACGGTCCTTCCTATGGTGTTATGAGTAGAATACGAGTGATGTTTGCAAAAAGGTCCTCGGACATAAATAAGGGACGAAATTGCAACTTTTTTTTTTTTTTTTTGCAAAACATAAGGGACCTTTTTGTTGCGAAAAAGGACCCATTTGTAACCTTTCTACAAATGACAAAAAACAGAAAGCAATTCGAAGATGATGAAAAGGTTAAGTTAGTGAAACATACACGACTAAAATTGCAATTTACTGGGTATAAGGTGTAAATATGCGCACCTACTTAAATCCACCGTGCGAGAGTCATTTTTTCCTTTCGACATCGAGTATAAATCCGAAACCGACCGACCGACCTCCGATACTCGAATATGGCTCAATTTCTCGAGCTGTTGGGTCGTGAAGAGCTGTGAGGTGACGATTTTTCGAATGTCGCGCCAAAAGGGTCCGTGAGGCTCTAGTGCAAAAACCGCGCCTTTATAGACGATGTGCTTGAGGATGGCCATTTTTGGCCGGCTGGGGAAAATTTGATCGTTTACGGTGAAACAATCTTTTATGAGCTCCCATTGGCTCACGACGACAGCCTGGCGGTAGCCGAGCCGGAGTGAAAAGATGGGGCCGTGCTCGTCTGCCATACCTCCTAAAAGTCGAGCAACCGTTGTGCAGCCTCGTAGGCGGTGAAGATGGCCTATAAGAGGCAATTCCCCGGGGAGTTTTGGTGGCAATGTTTTGTGGTTCTTCATGTTATGTTTTGTGCTAGTTTTGAAATAATATGGACCAAAAAGTAAGGCTGTAGATAATAACAAGACAACGGAAAGAATGATGATTTCCATGCTTAGATGGGAGTGTTTGCGTTGGCCTAGTGTTTTGTATGCCAAATGAACTTGTTGCATGCCCTATATATTCAAGATGAACTCAAAGTGAATCTGTGGATAATTTGACAAGCATTTCCATTTTTTGGTCACTGTATATTTTTGGGTTTTTCTTTAAAACAAAAATGTATGTTAGTACACTACTTTTTTGCTAAAAATATTAAAGAAGATGATATCAAAGTATCAAAATTAGCACACTAAATTTTTACATATTCTTTTTATATTTTTGATAAATTATTGTACTAAGTTTGCCCATTAGTATAGCGTTAATTTATGGGAAAGATGGATCAAAATAAAATTTTGGGAAAAAAAAAAAAAAATTTCAAGATCTAATTTATTGGACATCTGCAGTGCGGGTCATTTTCCTAGGTTTAATTAGTGTCAGCACATTACGACACGTCTAATGTTTATTGGATACTTATAACTAATGGGACACTTATGGAGTTTATCAAATATATCTTTTCAGATGTGAAGGTTATAAAAAGATCTAAAATTTGTTTAACACGTTTAAATATAACTGGGAATTCGTATGGAAATGTTTAACACGTCTATCAAAAATCTATAAACACGGTAGGGTTTCACGGTTAATTTTGAATGTAAGTTTATGATAAGTGAAAGATTTTTTATTTTGGCATGAAGTTAAAAAATAATATATTGAAGATATAATCTTGCAAGCAAAAAGAATTTAAAAAGGGAAGATCTTATTTATTTATTTACTTAGATATAATTGATTTATTTGGTCGTTTCATGCTTAAATTTATGTGTATATATTATAAGATATTATGTGATCTTATCTATATCTATATATATTGAAAGAGAGAGGTAAATAAATCGATTGTGGAAACTTCATAAAAAATCCCAGTCAATTCATTTGACTTACTTATAATAGAAATATTTTAAATCTTCCGCAAAAAACAATTGTGAGGATTTTTTATGAAATCTGGTGAGGCAAAAATCATTCCATATATTTTGCGAAAACAATTCACGCGCATGTGTGGATTTTGTCAAACGGATCACATTATTTGGTAAGCCAATTATTTAGGAAATATGATATATCACAAAAAAATAAAAAAAATAAATAAAAATAAACATACATTACTAAGAGAAATCATACAAGAAATCAAATGAATTGACTGGGATAATCTTACAAATAATCACTCTCGAAATCATACAAGAAAAAATATAATGGCACCATTGTTTGATACACTCGCCGCCGTCAACAGGGCAAATAAACCTTTTTTGAGGTTAAGAGTAGTCCGAATTATTGAAACCTATTTCGAACTGGAGAGCATGAACAATTTTTAAGAGTAGGCGTGTTTTTCAATTTTTCTTTCAATTTTAGTATGAAATTAACATAATAAAATTGCCGTAACTCAGACAAAATAATATGAACGGATATTTTGATATAATGTGCGTGTATCAATGTTTTTTATATAAAAAACTCTGGTCAATTTTTTTGTATAATTAGAGGGTCTCGATTTAATTCATTTTTTGTTATGACATTTCAAATAATTTTTTTTTTTGTGAAATGCATTATTCATTTTTTTAGCATGATAAAGAGTGTTGATTTTTTTGGCATAAGAAATCTTATGACTGATTGTTTTTACTCAACTATTTAAATTTTTTTATTTGGATATTTTATATAAAAATAAATTCATTTTAATTAATGATAGGTACATTTTATTACATATTGATTCCATGTTTTTAATTTATAAATATTATTTAATGAGAATTAATTTATAAATATAAATGAACATCTCTTACCCGTGCATAGCACGGGATTCATACTAGTTTAAATTTAAAGTAGAAGTAGGGTTTAAATTAATATTAGGATAGCTTAATTAATTAAGTTAATTAATTAATTAAGTTAGCTTTATAGCCTTTAATTAAGTTTGGCTTTTGCTAGGCTTTTGTTAGGCTGATCCGAGTGAAATCCCCATTCCCCCGTATATATAATTGCATAATGTGCTAAACCTAAGTGGCATAATCTCATGCTTCAAAATCCTATATGACAAATTTTCATGCTTTGTAATTTGGCTTTGATGAATTTTAATTACTCTAAATTAAAAAATAATTAGGTTTGAAATAGCCATAAATGTACTAGATACTTATGATCATTTTTAAGAGTATTAATATTAAATTTCCTATTCAAGAAGTGATTTATTAGGCATGATTTTTTTTTTTTTCTCTCAATCTTTCTTTTTCTTCATCTTTCTTCTAAACTTATGAAAAATTACTAACTTAAATTATACGCAGATTGAAAAGTTAATAATTTTTTATATATAATATATCAAATTAATAATGTCTTGATGAGCTTCGATTTGACATCTATATTGTACATACAACATAAATAAATAGTTGTACTTAACTTTATTAAAAAACTACTTATTAATATTAATTAGAAAATATAATTATTTAAATCAATTTAGCTACAAAGTTGATAATGATATAATTAAAAAATATTATATTATAAAATGGTAAACCATATAAGTGACGTCTGTTATTTTAAATATAAATAGTAATACAGTTATTCAAAAAAATATTAAAAACTCAAACAATTTTTTTTTATTATTTTTAGTTTTAAATATAAATTTCTTAACATACACTGTGTAATACACGGGTATTGTACTAATATATTGAAAGAGAGAGGTAAACAAATCAATTGTGGAAACTTCATAAAAAATCCCAGTCAACTCATTTGACTTACTTATAATAGAAGTATATTAAATCTTCCGCAAAAAACAATTGTGAGGATTTTTTATGAAATCTGGTGAGGCAAAAATCATTCCATATATTTTGCTAAAACAGTTCACGCGCATGTGTGGATTTTGTCAAACGGATCACATTATTTGGTAAGCCAATTATTTAGGAAACATGATATATCACAAAAAAATAGAAAAATTAAATAAAAATAAACATACATTACTAAGAGAATCCTATACATATACATACCAAGTTTTTTTCATTTTCTCCAACTCGTGCAGAGATAATCTTACAAATAATCACTCTCGAAATACATACAAGGAAAAATATAATAGCACCATTGTTTGATACACTCGCCGCCGTCAATTGGGCAAATAAACCGTTTTTGAGGTTAAGAGTAGTCTGAATTATTGAAACCCATTTCGAACTGGAGAGCATGAACAATTTTTACGAGTAGGCGTGTGCTTCATTTTTTATTTCAATTTTCGTATGAAATTAACATAATAAAATTGCCATAACTCCGACAAAATAATATGAACAGATATTTTGATATAATGTGCGTGTATCAATGTTTTTTATATAAAAAGCTCTTGTCAATTTTTTTGTATAATTAGTAGATCTCGATTTAATTCATTTTTTGTTACGACATTTTAAATAATTTTTTATTGAAATGCATTATTCATTTTTTTTAGTATGATAAAGAGTGTTGATTTTTTTGGCATAAAAATTTTTATGGCTGATTGTTTTTACTCAACAATTTAAATTTTTTGATTTGGATATTGTATACAAAAATAAATTCATTTTAATTAATGATAGGTACATTTTATTACATATTGATTCCATGTTTTTAATTTATAAATATTATTTATGAGAATTAATTTATAAATATTAATGAATATCTCTTACCCGTGCATCGCACGGGATTCATACTAGTTTAAGTTTAAAGTAGAAGTAGGGTTTAAATTAAGATTAGGATAGCTTAATTAATTAAGTTAATTAATTATTAAGTTAGCTTAATAGCCTTTAATTAGGTTTGGCTTTTGTTAGGCTTTTGTTAGGCTGATCCGAGTAAGATCCCCCGCTGTGGCGGATCCACATATGGGCCAGCTTAAGCAATTGCCTAGGTTGAATTTTTTGTGTTAACTTCATATCATTACATGTGTTAATTGTAAATTTATATTCAATATTTGTAAAAATATAAATACAAGTTCTAATTTTAAAATTTAAAATAATTCTTACAAAATAATATTATTTTTTATTTAAAATGATACACCTCACCTGTCAAATTTGACTGCACTGTGTTAAAATATTTTTAGTATTTATACTGTATAATAGACTTGATTGATAAATTTATTGTTTTTCAGTCATAGTTAATAAATATTTAATTTTTTTATTGATAGAGAGTTGATTGATATAATTTTTTTAATTATATATAAGATATTAATGTCAAACTATAGATCGTCAAAATATGATTAGTTTAATTTATAATAGATAACAATTGTTAACAAATATAAATATTATTAACTTTTAAAAATAATTACAATTTAAGTTAGCCAAGGGTTTAAATTTGAAAGTTCTAATAAACATGGATAAAAAAACTCTACTTTTATATGTAAGAAGATAACCCATAAGGAACTCTTCATAAAATGACATAACCTAAAATAATGACAATTAGGCTTTTTTTTTAAATTAATAAATTTTATTTCAAAATGACTTGTTTATATATAACTTATACAAAAAATTATGAGAACGAGTTTGTATAATATTCTTTGTATATTTATAAATAATAATAAAAACATGAAATCAAATAACCAGACCTCATTCTCCATTTCAGTTTTTAGCATCAATTCAAAGACATATTGAATAGGGTACCCATCAAGACCCGATTGATTCAACAAATTTATTTAATTATTAATATAAGTACTTTGTGCAATATGGTTAAAAAAATCAACTATTTTTTGCCCTGATTCGTGAAAATTTTTGGATCCGCCGCTGATCCCCGTATATATAATTGCAGAATGTGCTAAACCTAAGTGGCATAATCTCATGCTTCAGAATCCTATATGGAAAATTTTCATGCTTTGTAATTTGGCTTTGATGAATTTTAATTTACTCTAAATTAAAAAATATTTAGGTTTGTAATAGCAATAAATGTACTAGATATTTATGATCATTTTTAAGAGTATTAATATTACATTTCCTATTCTAGAAGTGATTTATTAGGCATGATTTTTTTTCTCAATCTTTCTTTTTCTTCATCTTTCTTCTAAACTTATGAAAAATTACTAACTTAAATTATAAGTAGATTGAAAAGTTAAGAATTTTTTATTTACTATTAATATTTTATATATATTATATCAAATTAATCATGTCTTGATGAGATTCGATTTGACATCTATATTGTACATACAACATAAATAAATAATTATACTTATCTTTATTAAAAAAACTACCTACTAATATTAATTAGAAAATATAATTATTTAAATCAATTTAGCTACAAAGTTTATAATGATATAATTAAATATAAGATAGTAAACCATATAAGTGACGTCTGTTATTTTAAATATAAATAGTAATATAGTTATTCAAAAAAATATTAAAAACTCAAACAATTTTTTTTTTTTTTTTTTATAGTTTTAAATATAAATTTCTTAACATAACCCGTGTAATACACGGGTATTATACTAGCTTATTTATATGTGGTAGGTGATTTGGACGTGTGCATGGGAGAAGTAATCGCTTGTTTGGAAACAACATAGAGAGAGATCAGGCTCATGAAGATTTGTGATCAAGAACAATATTCCCTTATCATATTTTGGATATCTTGCTTCGAAGGAAATCATCCTTGAAGGAAAAAGAGTAACTAATTGGAGAAGTTACAAATACCTATTTTGAAAATCAATTGAAGGCTGCTGAGAGTTTCAGTATTCCGATATCATTCAAGCATTCAATTGAGATTCAAGAATTTTTCTTCTTAGATTTTCTTTTGATATTCATTAAGGGTAGTGTAGACATTTAGCAAAGCAAAATGACTAACGTTAAGGTTTTTACAAAAACATGGCCATATTTTATTTTAACTGTTTAAACTATATTTGGTAGACAAATAAACTAGTTTATAGTCTATTTGATTATATTATAAGCTTCTTCGTTTGGTAGGACAAACTTTTTTAAAAAGCTCGAGCTTATCTCACATTCAAATGTCGAATTGTACTCTGAATCTGCAATTTTGTTTATTTTGGGACCGGATATTTCTCATTCCTTTTAAAGCTTAAGGTGTGTGCACTTGCATGCGAAATGCATTCTTATCTTGGTTATGTGAGTGATGTTGGTTTAACTTGTTAGACCATTGTCTAATAAGGGGTATCTATAGCTATGATTGAGTTTTATGCACTTGTGAAAAGTGGCACCTAAAGATAATGTTTTGTGTCTTGTGTACACATCTGAACGCTTCTTTTCCATGAATCAATATAGTGAAATGCAGCCCTTTTTTTTTTTTCTTTCTTTTTTCTTTGGTTTTCCATGAATCTTAGTAACACTTTCCATTTGTGTCTTGATAACACTTTCTTTCTGTAAGTCCCTTCTTCACTAATGGTCAGGTCTTTCAATATCCATTTTCATCTTGGTAACACTTTTAAATCCAGCATGTACTAAGCAAATGAATTAGGAGGTATGACTTCAGTTCATTCAAGATTGTCAAATTGTATTCTTCACTCTTTCATTCAAGCATGGATGATCAGTTTTTAACTTGTACCATCAATTTATACCAGAGAGAAAATAGAGACAAATAAATGAACAATACAACTTGGGGAAGAAACCCACAAAACTCATAGGTCAGTTCTTGACTTGTACCATCAATTAATACCTTTCGAATTTTTTAATTGACCTCTCTCCATATTGCTCTCTTCATTTCCTTCCTCCTCCAGTTCCCCATCCTCGTTTTCTTCATCAATGCTCAGCCCAACCTTCAGCATTCTATGAATTCTCGCAGCAAAAGTGTTCGGGTCATCCAAACTGAAACCAGATTTCAAAAGGGCAGTCTCTAACAGCAAAAGCACGAGATCCTTAACTGATTCGTCATTCTTATCAGCCTCAGCCCTCTTCCTGAGCTCCTCCATGATCCCGTTGTCTGGATTGATTTTGATAGTCTTCTTGCTTGACATGTAGGAACTCATGCTACTGTCCCTGTTTTGTTTATAAATAAATATATCCTGCTTGGACATACGCATTGATTCCTCTATCTTATCTTTTGCAGATAAGCTCATGTCTGGTGCCATCTCAACCAAATCCACCGAGAGCAGGAAGAAAAAGGCTCGCACCCAACCCACTGATGCCAGCACTTCTCACCTTCCTGTGCCTCCCACCAAGAGCTTGACCTCCAATCTTTTGAAGAACTTTCTTCCGAACCCTCGCAAGAGAAAGCCGAGCCAAGGTGATAATACCTCAGTTGCTCGGACAACTACAGCTGAGCCTGTTCGCAATTCGATCCACCAGCCCCCCGCTTTCGCTACTCATCAGGATCCATCGGTCCAGTCCTCGTATCTGCTCTCCATTTTTCCCGGGAATGAGGCTGATCGTTGGGGTGGCGATAACCGAGCCCGAGCTAAGTTCTGCATTCAACATCTTGCTGCGGTGAGTTTTTTTTTTACCAAATCGTCCATATTTATATAACTTGAATCCGTTATTTCGAATGTCCAGCTTAACTCAGGCCTCGCCGGAATGCTGCACGAGGCTATTGAAGGTGAGGCTCCCTCCGCAGCTGAGTATCACGAGTTCAAAAAGTCATACGATGCCGAGCACTTGCTAACCAAATCCCTTCAGGCCGAGCTGAAAGCCGCTAAGGTAGAAATGGTCCGCCAAGCTGGAAAGATCAAGTCCTTAGAGCTCGGCCAAGCGTCTCAAGCTGCCAGCCATCAGAAGGAGGTCGACACCCTTCGTACTGCCGATCTTGAGTTGGCCGTGCAAGAAGCAGCCGCGAAGGAGGCAGCTGCTCGGCAAGAGACCCGAGAGAGCTTCCTTTCTTCACCCGCTGGAGCTCGTTTTCTTGACATCTACCACCAAGTGTTGCTTTCCCTGTATCATGATTCCATGCCCTTCTTGTCTCGGCTCTATCTATCCGGCAAGCAATATCTGCTAATTGGAGCTGCTCGGGCTTTAGAGCAAGCACGGGCTTAGCGGTAAATTGGACAGCTATGATGAGGCCGCCCTGATTCTTAATCTTCCTGATCCTGAAGGCTGGTCCGGGAATTCCGAGCTATCACTCGATTATCCTTGGTGGGAGACCGCATTAGAAACTGCTCTCCATAAGCTTGAGCTCGGGGATAATAATAAGAAGAAGAAGAAGAATCGGTTAGGGTGCAGTGAAGGGCCTCTGCTTTATATATATCCGGGCTTAGTTAATATTATGTTACTTTAGGTTTAGAGGAATTTACACCCTATACTCTCAATTATATTTTATATTACATATTTACACCCAATTAATTAATATTTATTTACAAATACACAAAATCACTCAACATATTTGCACATATACCTTCATCCTTATCTAAATCCAATCAACTCTACCTATAAAAGTCATTAAATTAATCAACCCTAATTACCACATCTATCACCCCAAATCGGGCCCTCAAATCACCTCACAGACCCCATCTCACCATGGACACAGGATCAGAGCCCCACCAAAACCGTGGCCTAGCTCCACAGCCACCAAGTCGACACAGTCGGGCCGACCACAGCCGCCGGCAGACGCGTGGCATGGCAGCATCTCCGGCTCCTGCTCTAGGATCTTCTTCACCACGGCGAGATCTCGCTGTGTCATTTGGAATGTTGTGCCGAACAACATCTTCTTCACCAACGACCTCCGATATAGACGATTCAGATCTAACCGCCCACCACCGCCCCTTCGCCGCTGCTCTATCCCGAAGACTTCCGCCTCAAAGACCAAAGACTTATAAAGATGCTATCTTTGCCGACAATTCAAAAACCTGAAGCAAATGTTTGCATAAAACCCATTTAGTATGTGCAAGTTACAATTCTTTTGCATATCTTGAATTGAGTCTACTTTTTTTCTTTTTTTTTTGTCTGCAGATCTGAAACTATTGTACTTGTGTCCATAGTATTTTCTTCTTTTTTTCCTTTGTTTTTTTTTCCCCTATTGTACTCGTCAAACTAATGCAACGTGAAAGGGGTGCCTTCAATTTCTTTCCCGAACCAATCGATTTGAACCAAGGATCTATTCTCAACAGCAGCACCCCTATGGACCACCACTCATCTTCTTGGATCTATTCTCCGTCAGCCATTTTTTTATTTTTCCATTTTCCATTCACAGGGGTTGAAACTGCATATGAATGATCCAGTCCATCCCAAGCCAAAACCACTATATGTTACATAAAATATACTTTAAATATACACTCGAGTTTCAATCGTTTCTCAAATATACACAAAATATACTTTAAATATACACTCGAGTTTCAATCGTTTCTCAAAATCGATTTCAGAACCCACATATACATAAAATATACCTAAGATATACACTCGAGATCACGTACATGAGACGAGCAAACACAAAATATACACAAAATATACTTTAAATATACACTCGAGTTTCAATAGTTTCTCAAAATCGATTTCAGAACCCACATATACATAAAATATACCTAAGATATACACTCGAGATCACGTACATGAGACGAGCAGACAAGAAGGTCTCAGGCGGTGGTTGAGCAAGTCCAATTGGTCATCTTTTCTTAAATATGGAATATGGAATCAAGATCTGTAACTGATTTTTAGGCAACAATATAATTAATTACTAGCTATTAGGTACATACACAATTAATTGTGTATTAATGGTAATTTTGCAATATTCCTACAATCGTGTAGCATAAGTGAAAATGTCCCTTAGGTTTATTAGTAGTTTTATTTTGGACTTTGTTATTAGTAGATGTAATTGGGCCTATTATGAGATGTAGTAGTTACACCCTGCCAGGGCCAGACCAGTCTGTATTCTTCAAGCCTCTTGGGTCATTGTCTTCCTGTCCCGACGAACGAACGCATTTACACCCCGAATTCTAGTGTGTTGGGGGACAGAACCTTGATAACACTCATCGACCTCGTCGTTGTCGTCCCTGGCAGATTGTCCAGGTCTGCTAACACCTTGAATAAAAAATATAAAATAATAATTAGTAATTTTTTTTAAAATTTATATAATACAATAATTACAATTATATATATTACTTTCAAAATGGTTAGACCAAATTACATATATATTTTTTAATATATCTTTTAATAAATATATATATTTATATTTCTTAATATATTGCTTTGAAAATAGTTATATAAATTTTTTAATACAACTAATTATTAATATATATATATATATATATATATAAATCTTTTAATTAACTTTTTAAGGTGAAGTTTTAAATTAATGATAAGAATTAATTAAATTAATTTTAAATTAAAATAATAATTAGAATTTTGTTTTCATATTTAATATTTAATTTAATAAGTATTAAAATAGCAATTAATTAATTTTATAATATTTAGCAATTTATTATTATTATTATGATAATTAATAATNTGTCCGGCCGGCGGGGCCGGTCGACTTTGGTCCGTCGGCGAGGGCTTGGGGCGGCGTCCTGCCACCCAACGCGAGCAGGTGGGAAGGCATCCGGCCGGCGGGGCCGGACGTTTTTTGGGTCGTCCGCAATCACGGACCGGACGACCCCGCCGCGTCCGGAGGCAATGGCCGGACACGGCAAAAGATTTAAAAAAAATCAACGAAAAAAAAAATTACCTTGCTAGAGAAGAATGTTTTGCCGAGGCTGTAGGATTTTTTTGACATTTTTTTTGGAATTTTTTTAAAGCTCGAATGGCTCGTTGAAACAAAAGAAATTTAGAGAGATAGAGTTGGGACAGTCTAGGGTTAGAGACCCTTGTACATACTTGACACCAAGTAGCCCCTTATTTTACTATTAGATTGACTCAAGATTGAATATCAACCATTGATTTTATGTACAAAGCATGTACAAGGCAAAAAAGAAAGATTTATGCTTTGTACATGACTTTGTACGTTTGTACAAGCTAAAAACCTATTTTACCCTTACTATTGTTTAAAATATAAATAAATTATAAAATGATATTTATATTTACACCCTAGCCGCGGGATTCTTCTCCTTAACCCTTCTCTGCTCTTCCTCGGGGTGCCTAAAGGTTTTCCCGTTAACAATTTTACTTTATTTTTCAGATCCTGCTGCTTCTTCTGAGAATACTCATCGTTCTGGCGAAGACATGACCAATCCGTCATCTTCTCCGATTCGCCAACCTATTCCTCATTTTCCTTCCCGTTCTGTTGAAGAGATTTACAATCCCACTCCTCTCAATTTTCTTCGCCCTTCCGATTATTCGACACCTCCTCCTTCTCCCCAACCTCACCATCTGATTGATGAATCAGACGATGACACTCTCGACCACATTTCTCTTACCCGCCGCCGACGGCCAGCGTTTGGGGCTTCTGACATCGCTGAGGCGGCTCTCGATGCTGCTGAGGCCACTGCCGGGAGGGATGAGGATGATATTCCCCTCTCTCACCATTCCGTCTTTTCCAAAGCTGCTTATTCGGTAATCCTAAGAAAAGCGCTCCCTCTCGATCTAAGGTAAAATCTTCGACCACTCCTGCTCCACCAAAAACCCAATCCAATCCTGTTACTGCTTCTCCTAAGCCGGCCAAAAAGAAAAAGCTAGTCAAAGCCTCCTCCTCTAAACCGACTTCCTCTCGCTCTCTTATCGCCGGTTGGTTGAACGTTGCATCACTAAGTCCAGATAAATATCAAGCCCAATAAACACAATTGCTAGGAATAACAAGCCAAAGATTAGTAATTCAAGCTAGCTGGGATTGATGAAAAAATAAAATAAAATTTAAAGAGCAAACTGATGATGAGTGTGTTTAAGAAAATAAATACTTTCAGCCACGTAATTTACTTATATAATAATTTTTGCAATGAAATTAAAAAAATCTAGGCTTCATAGATACACACACCATCTACACACAAGTATAGTATTACACGAAAGAGAACTAAGTTGGGCTCAAGATACAAAAATTTGTTTAGAAAAAAAAATAAAAAAAAAATCATATAAATCTACTTATATTTGGTATTTAAAGTATAGCAGAGCTATATATATACTGTTGAAAAACAAAAGTATTCTACTCAAGATTAATAGTAGTATATGCTATATATTTATATTTGTTTATTAGGTTACTTTCATGCTCATTTGCTATTTTCCTATTAGAATTTATTTTATTTTATTTTTTTGGATTGATTGACATAGATTTTTTAGTTTACATAATAGCATAGATATTCAATTAAATTTTTCACTAGAGTATGATTAAACTGATATATTGTATATTAAAAATGTAAGATAAAAAATTTATTAAAATAAAGAATATGAAAAATTAATTTTATAGTAATTAATATATGAAAGAATTAAAAAATAAAACAAATAAAGTAAAATGTATAAGTGATTTCATTTTTCACTGGTTAAAACAAATAAAATATAATCATATAGCATATCATATATTCCATGTAATTAAATGTAAGAGAAAAACTTAATACATAGCAAGATTTGCATCGTACAATTGTCTATATTTCCGTCTATATTTAGTAATTTTCTATTAGTTTTCTTCTTTTTATCTTCTTTATCAGTTGTGAGATAGACATACCTGTCATTTATTCAACCAAAAAAATACAAGAATTAAAACAAGAGTGTTACTATTTACCGCACCTAATTTTACTAATCACCGCACCCAATTAATACCTTTTTGCCCTTACTAAAAAAAATAATAAAAAATTCAATTCTTAATTCATTTTTTTAGCATTAAAAAAAAAGAATTCCTACAATCTTGTGAATGTGAATTCCTAAAAAAAATAATCTTTCACNTGGGTACGTTGACTTAAGATTAGGTGCGGTATTTAGCAAATGAGTTAAAACAAAAGTTGAAACGTGATTTTGAAATAGAAAATATCTTCTCTAATTCTAAATTAGTGTCGTTGAAAAAAATTAAAAGCATGTTATTTAATGAATTACATACAGATAAATGTTACTCGTACAATAGACACGATAGGTTACTATGAACGAATTTGTATTAGCTATTCTATCAAAGGGATTGTATGAGTAATTCAGCACAAAATTTCCTCTTCTGCTTCAAAAGTCACAGATATAAGAGCATCTTTAACAATCCCTCTCCATAAACCTCCTTTTACACTTCCCAACATGCCACATCATCCAAAACCTCATTCTTACTCCTACACTTAAAAACTTACAATAACAATAAACTTCATAAACCTCATTTTTATGGGTCCCACATATTTTCCACTTACTTTTAACTAAATATTATACTCTTATATTTTTATTAATATTTTAAATCTATAACTCCACTTTTACTTTTATTCAATCTAAATGTTTCATATATTTATCATATTTACATATAAAAATAATATAATTGTATATATATTATTTTATATTATTTATAATTATAAAGTGTAGTTACGTACCGACGTAAAGTTACTTAAAAAAATTACAAGACATGTCTCACTTGTTCTCGTTTAGTTTTAATCAATGTTATATTGAAAATTTGTGTGAACTTACATGATGTTGAAAACTAAAATTTAAGTATAAACATTTTGTAAATATTACTCGGATTCATTCTCAATATATTAAACATACTTTTTTTTTAGGTCCCACTTGTTCTCATTTAGTTTTAATTAATATTATATTTTGTTAATTTTATTCAAATATAACTTCATTTATTATATTTAGAAAATAAAACTTTCTTATATTTATCATAAATGTATAAAAGATTATATTGAAATTATTTATAATTATAGTAAATTAGCATGAGACGGGAAATATTGGTTGCATATGTAAAACCTTCTAGAATTATTAAACTACAAATATTAGAAGGGTAATTAATTGTTGAATAATTAAATTTAAGTTATTAATAGAAATCCACAAATAAAATAACATATAAAAAATACTTATAAGAAAATTAAGAAATATTTTTTTTTTACCGAACATTAACTTGTATTCACAATTATGTAAATCAAGAAATAAAAATAAAAGAATATATAGCCATATTTACCCATGAAGGAAATACGCAAAAAAGAAAAACAAAATGGAAGAAAGAAAATTAATTGGAGACATAGGACATGTGTGTGGACCCTTATTACAGGTTTGTGGGAGGTTTACATATCCAAACCAGGTTTAAACATTCAAACCTCATACCTATAGCAAATAATAGATAAACCTTGAGATTTACATTTTCAAACCTCACCTCAAACCCATTGATAAAGATGCTCTAGGACGTAAACCTGACAGATCCTGTTGTGCTGAAATGATCATTTCAAACATGACGAAACACAAAGTCTGGTGGACCAATTGATTAGCCGGTCAGTCATTATTTTTTTTCAATATAATTATGATATTTTAGTATGAAAATGTATGTATTATTGAGAAAACCCTACTCATAAAAAGGGATGAAAACAAATGTCCAAGCCATAATAATCTCTAGGATACTATTATACTAACTCAAGTCATCCATACAAGGGTTCATTATCAGAGTTCGATTCTCTTATTCTGGAAAATAAACCGAAAGGCCGATTTACTTAGTACAGGACCACAGAAGATATCTGGAGTGCCCGTTAATCCATTCCTCTCTTTCGCTTGTAAAATCTCCACTGCTTAAGTAAAACCTCAACTCCTTCCTTGAGGCTGGCCCTCCTATCGTCATTATAGTTCCACATTTCAGAAGTAATATACCTCCCGCTTGGGTTATATTCGTTTACCTCTTTCAAAGCTGTAATCACGGCATTGCACACTTCATCCCCATAATTCTCTTTCAAGTCTTTTAGTCTTTCGTCGGTTTCATCAATCACGTTCTGAAGAACAAATCGAAAAGCCAGTTATTTAGGAGCCCTAATGAAAATAATGGAACCAAAGAATTGATTCTGATTTGAAGAGATAAATGGATATGAAGAATTGATTCTGATTTAAATGTAGATATATGCACAGTTAGAGTATATGAAGGCGTGAATTTTTATCAATCACGTTTGTGGAACGCATCCTGTTAGTTTTTCACGTAAATCAATCTTTATTTATACGTTCAATTAGCTTAGCTAATCAAACGAACTCATTGTTATAATTTATTATGCACAAATACAATGTGTATCATCATGCATGAAGAGACTGCACCATGGCAACCTTGTATTTATTATCTGATTAATGAAATGAAATCTCAAGTGATTTCATTAACCACAGTAGAATTTACCTAGCAGGATTATACTTTCAAAGCCCTGACAAACGAAAAGGACTTTCGGAAAAGGTTTTCTCTCTGCATATATCTAAGAATCGTTATTTTCTTATTTTCAAAATAATGATGACGTATCAAAATAATGTTCCATGCATAAGATTAAAAAATCATCATAGGAGTACCTTTGTGTAGAAGTAATTCTAAATGACTACTTTCAGACGTGTAGCGTTGAGATAATGAAGTATTTTAATACGGGTTTTTTNAGTTGTCATAACTAGAAAGATATATGAGCTGAACTTCTTAATTGGAGCATGCAAATAACAAAGCACAAACACTAAACTGTACCACTCCATATATGTTTCAACTCCTTACCTGATATTTGTTGTTGATGCTAACCACCTTTATGGGATGCCATTCAGGATCTCTAAGGTATTCCTCCCACAGTGAGCATAATTCTGTAGCTCTCTCATCTGCTTCGGCCTCACTATACCTCCTTTTCATTGCTCTATGAAATGGCTTGTCGTCAAGCTCTCCCATTCTCTTGACGCTAATGTGAGAATTTATTGCCAGCTCTTTCAAGGCCTACAGAGCAATTCTTTTTAGCCTCTCCACGAAAATTTATACCAAAAAGAAAGATTCCATAGCAAATAATACAGGAGAATATCCTAACCAGCTTGCTTTGAAGATAAACATTGAGCTTCTGTACTATACACGGTTTGATTATTACTTATTTGGGAGCAGGGCTTAACACTACAACAAAAATGTTATAAATTTGACAAATACAATCAGAAGAGAGAAAATTAAGAATTTACTAGTCAATGCGGAAAATATTGTAATTATCTCCCATAAGGTGTTCAATATAGTTGCATCCAATGCCAATGGAGCTTGTTATCTGGAAAGAAATGTTTCCTCTAGACACTGCTAACAGCATATAAATTACTGATTGTTACTTGACAACATTTGGTTGCATTACATATTATTCTTATTTATTCATCGGATTCCTTTTCATTTGGTGGATTAATTGGACTATCCACATTACTACTGAAGATCAAATAAGGATCCAGGGATGTCATGTGATGGAGTCGTGTATAAAAATGATGCAGTGTAGATTAGCAGCTTGACATATCAGTCATAACCCAGTTGAGAACAAATGTTTAAATAATCAAGATGGGGTCACGTAGCTACTTTAGATTATCGCTAAACTAAAATGGATATTGGTTAGACTAAGCAGTGAAATTCCTTTTTTATATACTTAAAAACTATTAGAAACCTCACATTAATCATTTCTTTGCGAGCATCCTGTAATTCCTCATTTATCTTGCGCTCCTGCACAATTAAAGTTTGGTTTAATGAGTCCAGTTCTTGAAGTTCTCCTTCCTTCTCCCTCATTGCCTTGAGCAGCATTTCCACTTTGTTTAAAACTTCTAAGTCGCCTTCATCTCCCATGTGCTTTGCAACATTGAGTTTACCTCTCAATTGTTCAATTTCAAGCTGCACAGCTTGTTTTGCATCCAGTTGTTTCTCTAGTCGAATAATTTTCTCATGGAGCCTCTCTTTTTCTCTCTGAAATCACAAAGTGCAGCATATAACTATTCGTAAATGTTTTGAATGGCACATTAGGAAACTAGTCCAGCAGACTATTCTAAGGGAAATGAGCGACTAAGTACCTTCTGTTCTTCAGCCAACTTCATCACTTTCTCATCAGCCTTACGTTGTTCCTCAGCCGCAGCTTGAAGGGAGCAATTTTTGACAGCATTCTGGAAGAACAATCATCCATCATTGCATATACTCAATAGCTAAGGAAACAGAAAATGATTATAGAGCTGAAGCACAGTGTATGTATACAGTCTCATTGGGACGGCCAGCAAATTAGATGTCTACATCGAGTGCAGGCTTATTACAAGAACTGAGGAAAAGTGCTTTTATAAATAAAACAACCACAGACGAGGAAAGCTTATATCGAAAATTGAATATACAACACATGCATATTAAATTGTACTTACATTTCCAGAACAGAAAAACCTATCACCTTCACGAAAAATATGCAATGGGCACTTTTACGGATATGCTTCTCCACTGGAGGAATGGAAGTGTCTAAGAAACTAATAACCCACAACAATCAGTGATGTATAGGGTATTCGTGTTTTTTACACCTAGCTAGTGAAGGACCCAATTATCCATTATGATTTCAGAGAATGATGACTGGACACTGGATATGAATAACTGCAGTGATGTCAATTATTATTGTTGTTATTAATATTATTATTTTTATTATTAATTTCATTATTATTATTATTATTATTTTATTTATTATTATTATTATTAAAAAGTATTCCATTTATTATAAGGAAAAATACCACCACACGCAAATAACAGTGGATTTCAAGCAGTCTCCTCAAACTTAACCATTTCATAATTCCCTTGAAGCAAATTTTAAGTACTTTGTCACCTCAACTTAACCATTTTAGGGTTCTGTCCATGAAGAGTAAATTTGAATACTTTGTCTCCCTCCTAGCAAATTCTAATCCGATTTTAGCTAAATGGTTTTCCTTAGCCACTATAGAACAGAACCACTCTTTCCACAGAAATGCTCAATAAACTAAAAGCAGTGAAATATTTTGTACAATTGTGAATGGTGAAAACATAAAAATGATGGTACTTTTCCTGCAAATAATCGTACACCTTTTGACAGTGATATTATTCACAGAAACTATTCCATTTATCATATATCAACACTAACAATACGCTCATAATATAATGCACTTTAAAAGTTCTTTAAGTCGTGTGGAGAGATGGAGGGAAAAGGGAAAGCTCACAAGGAGTTGCTAAAAAGAACACTTTCAGGAACATTTGATTTGAAGTTGATATTGAGGGACAAAGTACTATAATAAATCCAAACTGAGGTGGAGATCTAAAACATACTATGAGCTTGACGTGTCACTCTAATTACATTTAAGGACAGAAGTGCTCGCATTATACATCTTGTGAGTTATATCGCAAAATGGTCAAATTTGGGGGTTGGCATACTACTTAAACCCAAACCAACAAAATCCAATACACCCAACCAAATATCAAATTTGGGGGTTGACATACTACTTAAACCCGCACCAACAGAATGATGAATGGACAGCTGCTCCAGTAATTTGTGAATCACATGCAGAAGGATCAGATCAAAAGTCAAACGTAGAGTTTGTTGAACAACAACCACCAGCAGCAATCCTTATGGAGAGCAGATCATTCTCACAGTCCATTCTAGAAAAAGGAAAATCTGCTCTGAGCGACCAAGACGCAAAGAAAATAAAAAATAAAAAACAGACTTGTCCTGGTAAGATGTGCAAATAAAATATCGGATTTCCGATTTCAAGTACAACAAATAGGGACCAGTGGATAAATGTTCCAATTAACAAAACTCAGCCAGGGAGTTCCTGCAAACATGTAGCGTCGCTGGTATATACCATACTACATCAAACTTTACTTAGCTGTAACGATCCAGATTTCACATGAAACAAAAGAACAAAGCCAGTGCTAGCCAGTAAGCGAACATGGCATGCTAATTGCTTGTATATTGTGTTAATGGGGAATACTTGCTTCTTTCCAGTAACCAGTTCAAGTCATGAAAAAGAAAAAGTGCAAAATACTACTAGAAAGAGGAAAGTATGCAGAACCTGTTCGAGGTCTTCAGCAAGCTTTTTTCTCTCATTTTCATTGTGTGTCTCACGTTTGTTCAGTTCTTCACCAAAACGTTCAAGATCTCTCATACGAGTTTCCAGTTGAGATTTCAGCTTCTCATGCTCATTGAAAATCTTCTTGTAATGATCTTGGGCACTATTTGCAATCTTTTTTATCTCTGATAGACACAAAGGATAATTCAGATTTTAAAGCAGGCCAAATTAGATTTAAATTGAAAAAGATCCACACATTGAAGATGAAAAACCTTCATTGTAGGATTGGTGAAGATCATCCTTTTCTTTGATCAACTGGCTTAGAGAGCTTTCAGTCTCCTTAAACTTACTCTCCATCTCTAGCAAGTGCATCTTCTTTTTCTCAATAACATTTGTCAAATTACCGATTAGCTTGTTAGTCTTTCGAGCTTCCTCTTCCTTGAGATCAGACATGGTTCTAAGATCACCAATCTTTCGAAGATTTTCTCCAACAATGTTATTAGAATTATAGTCTTCTGCCCGAGCAACCCATGCATAAAGGTCTGATTTCTTTTCATTCTTCGCCAGCCAGTTCCTCCTTCCATGATGCTTAGCCTCGTAGAATGTCTCGAATGACATAGCATTAGGAAGTCCTTCCCAACCCTTCTGAAATTCAACAATAGCAGTTCCTGAATGGCCTTGATAATTCCACAAGGGGCGCACTCTCATCGGATTAAATCCTCTGCTGGCCAACAGTTCCCTCAATTTACTACCACTCTCCCCTACATATCGACCGTCCTGAAAGTAAGTAGGAATATTTACCACGATCCCAATACATGGCCAGACAAGCATCTCATCACTGTCATATTCTGCAAGGGCATCTACTTCATCAGAAGGCTTTGAAGTACCAGAGTTAGCCGTCATCTCGTTTTCCAAGTACTTTGCCAGGGCAAGATGATTTGCCTTGTCTCTTGCATTTCTTTTCTGCGAACTACAATTGCCAATCGAGCTTGCGTGCTGCAAGAGTTCTTTATACTGGAAGTCACGCTTCTTTTTCTTAGTGCAGTAGGGGCACGTGTAAGCTTGATCGGATATCTTAACCTGGTGCTTCCCATTTTTCAATTCTTCATGTGCCTTCTCCACATATTCCTCAGTTTCAGAGTCAGAGACATCAGTGTCTTCACCCGAACTATGCTCCACAGAACTTCCCATCAGTCTTGATCTCACTGGAAATAAAACAGCAAGAACAGTATGTTACAAACCACTGTAAAATTGTCTCGAATGAAAGAACCAGTTAGCTTAAAGTTGAGCCGAACTTACTCAGACAGAGACCGCATGCAATAGAAATGTAAGGAAAAGTAATTTTTCACAAATTAACCTTTGATCTATTCATTTCCTTTGAATTTCACAAATTTTACAGCGTTGTCAAGCAAAAATAAACATGCATTTCACAGAAGTGAATACCACAAACATAAATCTCAAGATCTGAGCTGTATTCGAAGCCTAAGAAAACATGCAGCTGAGCACACACAGCAAAATCAGACAGCCAAATGAGCCCATACATACACTACTACAGATCTAAAACGAATTACCTGTGAATTTGTCGGGGATCGACTGGCCGACCTAGCAATCGGCCGTGAAAATTGGGTGCGAATTATTGCGAATTGAAATTATTTAGCTGTGAAATAAGAATCAGAAGCCAGTAAAGAGATTCTTGGCGCTGCGAGTCAAAGGTTTTCACTCACAAGCGCACTGATATCAGAGCAGTAGCGCAGTCAGGGCCGATGTTAAATACACTGCAAAAAGCGTTCTCATTTTTAATAGGCCTCGGCTATGGTGACTTTGACAACTCTTATGTTCTCAAATAGTTAATTATGATTTTATTTAAGGATTAAAATGTCTGATGAGCCTGTTTTGTAATATTTTTATTTATAGCGGGTAAAAATTGAAAACTCAATCGCTATTCACCGCCCCCCTTTTACTAGTCACTGCCCCCCAATTACTCTTTTGCCCTTAACCCTTTTTTTGATTTCATCTCTCTAAACTTTCTATCTCTCTAAACTTCCGAACTTCAACGAACGATTCGAGCGTCAAAAAAAATCCAAAAAAATGTCGAAAAAATTCTACGGCCTCGGCAAAGGATTCTTCTCCAACAAGGTAATTTTTTTTATTTTTTTT